AAAAAAAAAAAAGGGCGAGCCGAGCTTAAGCTCGGCTCGCCGAGCCGCTCGCTTTTGGCGAGCTCGCCCAAACGGCAACGAGCCGAGCTCGTTGCCGACGAGCCACGAGCTCGGCTCGTGCGAACACGAGCCGAGCTCGTTCGTCAATGGGCCGAGCCGAGCCATTGCCACCACTAGATAACCTATTCTCACCAATGTGGTGGGAATTGGTTTTTCTTAAAAACCAAGAATTGGGTGGAAAATGAGGTAAATGTGGAAAATAAATTCTATGAAAAATTTAACATACCAAACAGCCTAAAAGGTGAAAAATGGAAAATGAATTCCAACTTCTCTAGAAAATTGGGTGCTATCAAACAGGTCCTAAGGTATTGTTTCCCACTTTTTCTTAAAAGAGTTCACTGCTACTCAGGTGGAGAGTTTGGCACTACCCTTAACCCATTTATTATATCAACCAGAAAATTATAAATAAATTGGAGAAGAAAAGAAATAAGAAAGATCTATGCAAACATGCATAACTTTCAAATCGGGGTGTCAGATTTACGCGAGCAAATTCAATTCAGAAGCGCCTTTTAATTCTGCAGAACTTTGGAAAAAATGGAACTAGGGCAGACCGGTTCCCAATTTGACCGTCCGTTGGCCTGATTTCATCTGATTTTTACTATTACAATTTTAATCTTAAATCAATTTTCTGTGAGTTTTTTATTTTTCCAGTCAAACTAACCAGTATGGTTTTTTAAAACAAAGCTATTTTCACGCTCCACTGTGAGAAGAAAAATACACAATCAACTTCCCAAATTTGTTAGAAAAAATTATTACTTTAGTGGACAATTTTCATTAAAAAAAAAGTCAAACGGACACCATACTTTCAATATTTTTCAAGTGGAATACCAATTAAACACAATTAATTACAATTTCCAGTAAAACAATTTCTAAACAATTCAATTCCCTATAATTCATTTTATTTTCACCCATTTTTCACTTTTGCAATCAAATGACCCTAATTCTATATTATATTTATTTATGATTTTTACTTTTCAATTTTATAATTCTTTTTGTCAATTAATTTTATATTTTTTTAAACTCCCAATCAGTTTAGTTATGCCCTAATATTTATCAAAAATGCTGTGAGTACAGGTTTTTTGTACAGAATTTTCACCAGAAATTTGAATTTTACTCACATAGGGGTGGACCTAGGGTAGTAAATGGATCGGATATGGACCGGATCTGCTTACATCCGATCGGATAATTCAACGGATATCTAATTGCTAAATCCATATCCGATTAGCAATGTTATCGGATATCCGATCCGATAATCTGATCCGAAATTAATAGATAGAAATTAGGGAAAAAAATTGAACTAACTTGAGGCCCACAGTGACTTCTACCATCAAGATATTCCTTTTTAAAGGAGAGACTCTCTTCTAGTTTTCTATTGACATTCGATGTGGGATAATGTAAAATTGAATTTCAATTCTAAATATAAATATTTTATTTCATTATTTCTATAAACAAATCAAATTATTTGTTACATATTAATTATTAGTTTTTGAAATTGTAAAATTAATTACAATAATAAATTTAATTAAGAAAAATATAGATATTTATTTACTTTAAATTAGTATACTAAATTAGAAAAATATTGGTTGAAATCAATTTTTTTTTAAAATTTTCTAATTCTTAAACAAGTTTAATAATTATAATTTGTTTTAACTTTTTTATGTTTTGAATTTAATTATTTTTTATTCTAAATTTATTTATTTTCTCATTTATTTATTTTAGTGACAAATAATATGCCATAAAAATATTTTACCGACTCAATTATTTATAACAAATTGAATCGAATTGTTATCGGATCGGATTGACCTATATGCATATTTGATTCATTTAGTTAACGGATTATCGGATTCAAATCTTGATCGGATTATCGGACTGAGACCCTAAATCCATCTCATTAATTTCGTCGAATTCATATCAAAATCCAATCCATTGACAGCCTTAGGTGGACCCCATGTGATTAAAAAATTGATTTTTCTACCCACCCGCTGTTGGGAATTTACTTAACATGCACAGCGGAAATAAAACAATTTTCAATTATCAAATGAGGATCTGCAATGTGTTTAAATAGAAACTGTTATGAGAATGATACCTTTGATGAATTCCACAAACTCTTTTGCTTTTTCTTAAACTCCAATGATCACGATCTGCAATCCAAGCTGTCCAATTGTCCAGCCTCCAATGGTGATCCACACAGAGAACAAGAATGAC